GATTAAATTGTGACAGAACAAGTGATTCACACAGCAACTTACGAGTTCCCTGAAAAAGTACATGTCTATTGCCATAAATTAATTTCAAATTAGCATAGGCAACCCTTAGTTTATTAGTAATATGTTCTCTGAAACGCAACTGCGAATCAAGAGTGAGACCCAAGCTTTTGCATGACTCAGAGAGTGGCAATTTTATGTTATTAAGTTTAATTGTTATGTTATACTTTGCATGGGTTAAATGATTATCATTTCCAAAGAGTATTACTGAAGATTTATTAGGGTTAAGCTTTAGTAGGTGATCTGTTGCAATGTTAAAAAAATTTGATAAATCAGTATTGATGACATCCTCCGCGGTAGCTATTTCTTGAGGAAAAAATGAGTAGTAAATTTGAGTGTCATCCACATAAAATTGACAGTTGCATTGGTGGAGGGCTCCAATGAAGTTAAAAGTAAAAATAGTGTACAACAAGCGACCAAGAATGCTGCCCTGTGGAACACCCATGCGAACACCTAGGAACGATGACTGCTGCTGATTGTAGACAACCCGTTGTGTCCGACCTGACAAAAAGGAACACAGAAACTTTCGAGCACCTTCGGAGAAACCAACGTAATGGAGAATGGCCAAGAGAATTGAATGATTTATCATATCAAATGCCTTACTGAAATCCAACAATATTAAAGCCGTTATCTTTCCATCGTCAGTCGCTCTAAAAATGTCATCAGTAATGTCCAGCATGGCACTCTCACAACTGTGATTAGGTGTAAAACCAGACTGTTTCTCTGGTAGAATATGATTAGAATTTAAAAAGTTTACCATTTGATCGTTCATAATTCTTTCAAGTACTTTAGATAGAACAGGTAATATGCTAATTGACCGCAGGTGACTAAATTCGCTTGGATTGTTTATTTTCGGTAAGGGAATGACTTATGCCCGCTTCCATGTTGACGGAAAGTACGAATTTAAGATACACTCATTTATTATATGCGTAATGTATGGGACAATATATAGACAGCAAAGAAGTATTAATGATATATTTATATCATCATGGCCAGCAGCTTTAGATTTTATATTTTTCAGAATGTTGAGAATCTCATCTTCCGTGGACAATACAAAGTCAAAGTGATCCGTTCTGTCATTTAACCTATTATTATAATAAAAATTCAGCAGTTCTTGATTGGGCTATCATTATTTTCCACACTGTTTATAAAAAAATTATTAATTTGATCGACATTATCTAAGTGAATTGGCAAAGTACCCCTGTTACATTTTACAACATTAAGTTTCCTTAGTTCGTTCCATTTCTCTTTGGCATTACTATGACAATACTTAGTTCTTAAATAAGTTTTTTTCTCTGATCTAATGGCCGAATTTGTATAATTACGTAATTGTTTGGATTAATTTTAAAATTTTAAATTCGTTTAACACCGTTCATAACGATGAATATTTTTCAGAAAATATCAAAATGTTTCCAATCTAAGAAACCAAATAAATTTAAATATCTTTGTGTGTCAAACGACAGTAAATAGTAAGTACCATTTCTTTACTGCCGATTGCTTTCTTTGTGTGCCATGTTTCGCTTTCACCTGCTTGGCCAATTAATAGTATTTACAATGCAAAAACGCCCTTTTCAACTAGGCATCCTTATATAAAGTGGCCTTTTTTTCAAATGCTACATATAAATTATAAAAAAGAAATCTTTGAATAAAAAAGCAAGAAAAAATTCTGATGGATATGTGCGAGTATTCTTCTGAATAATATTTGTTACATATTTCGGTTGATTTCCTTATAGAGGCCGATCTATTTTAGTGGTGTTTGTTGATAATTTTGCAGAAAATTTCATGCATAATTCAATGTTGGATACCCTATACCCATCTCTTCCTTTTCATGAGCAAAGGAATAAAAAACAAATTTAATTTTAAAATTAACATGTAATTAGCTGTACCATTAAAGTTGTGAAATTATCGTAATTACATTTCTGTCAGTAAAGAAAGTGCAACTGAACGAAACCCAGAGAATTGAAATTTTAATTTTTATTTGATATGGAAACGAAACGAGAGCTCAAAAAGACGAATTTCTTTAGCGCAAAAAATCCAGAAAGACCCATTACAAGATCCACAGTGAGTAAAATTGAGAGAAAATTTATACGCATGTAAAAGATCGTCTATGGGCCAGGTCGTCCGAAAACCAACAAGATTAAACATTTTATTCGACGTTGAGGATAACTCCCATCAAGGATCTTTTGAAGTAGCTCCAAATAATGATATTAGCCAACGCTTTGCGTGTATTAAAAGAAAAAAAGTATCATCCGTACAAGATTACATTACTATATTAGCTTAAAAAATATGATCCCGACCGCAGACTATAGTTTTGTAAACCTAAGATGTGCAACTTAAATCCGTTTTTTCATCGTCAGATACTGTTTAGCGACGTTTGTTTAAATGGTATGATAAATAAACAAAATTGTAGGAATTGGAGTACAAATAGTCCCCGATGGATGAGAAAAAATCATACACAACGTGCACAAAAAATAGATGTTTGAGATTTTGAATAGCAAAAGTATTGAACCTTATTTCTTCAATCAAAATGATATTAGAGCTTGTTTTTTGCAATTTCTACAAAATGACTTAATTCTTACGCTGGCAGTTTCTTTTCCAAGTCCACATCAGCCTAATATACCAGTTAGACAGATTGCGTTTCAACTTGATGGTGTCCGCCCCATTTTGCTCGACAGGTCCTTGAATAATTAAATATGGCATTTTCGGACAGTGGATTGATGGAAGGGGATCAATATAATGGCCTGCACAATTTTCAGATATTACTCTCGACAACATTTTTCCCCTGGGAATATTTAAAATCAAAAGTGTATAAGATAAAAGCACAAAATTTAGAATTAGATACGAGATAATGAATTTGAGGTAGATTTCGAAATTGGATTAACACATTCCATTCAAAAAAAGGAACTTGGTATATACTTTTTGACTCACCGTGTATATATTCCAAAAGGTAATTTTTTAGTTCGGTAGAGCGGTCCTCAGATACGAAATAACGCAAATTAATGAAGGGTTTTTAAACCGATAAGCATGTTGTGAAGAAATTTATTTTCAAGGATCTTAAAATGGGTCTATGGCAATGAGTTTCATTTAGATGCGCCACAGTAACTGTCTTTACTGACAGACATGTAATTGTGACATTTTAATTTACTGTTACTATCTATTTACCTGTTCATTTCAAAATGAAATTTCTGTTTTTTATTTTTTGCTCATAAAAAGTAAGAGATAGGTATAGGGCACGCTACATGAATTGTGAATTGGAAAATGGATTTAAAAAATTGGTGCTCTATTTTAAAAAAGGAACTTGTGTCGACATCTAATTTTGATCCACCCTGTATATTCTATATTTACTGCAAGAAATGCCCAAGAAAAAATTATGGTGGACGTGTGCCTGTCTCCAACAAGCGCGGTAAACGACATTTCGCACAAGTGGAGCGACTGTTTTTGTAATGAAGTAATAGTATTATATTACGCAACAAGTGCGGTAAACGGCATTTGACTCACGAGTTTATTTGACGCAAGCGGAGCGAGCGTTTAGTAAAAAGTTGACCAAACGTGTTGCATACTATACTTTTTCCAAGAACGTTAGTTTTTGGCTACGTGTTCGCAAAACAACACGAATACATTTGCTGACATGACCGTCAGAATTGACAAACAGTGACAGTGCGGTTAAATCTCCGGAAACATCCGATTGCTCCCAAACCCGTACGGTAAAATCCCGGAAATGTCCGAAGTGGCTCGGATTCGTGGGAAACGAAACTGACGTGGTAAAGTGACGCTTCCTGCACGCTAGATCGGTGTGTAATTAGGTATTTTACGGACGGGAGTAGAAAAATAAATTTATTTCATATTTCAGTCGTTCACTGTTTACCTGCAAAAGTCACTTTTGAAGCAAAATTCAAAATAACGGTAATAGTATATTCTAGGTTAGGTAAACGGCATTTAATGGCACTTTTAAAAAACGAGTTATTTAAAAATTTACCAAACATGTTGAATACTATACATTTTCTACGACCGATAGTTGTTCGGCAAATTTTTGCAAAACAACAGGTTAAAATGCAAGCCGGAATATATCCGAAAACATTCGGAATGTGTGAAGTGGCTCGGATATTATTATTAATATTCTCTTCATCTACTTGCTTCGAGCAGGCAAGACAGATAATTGAAATGCTATTGATCCACTGATTGACTGATGGCAAAGTTCTGATTTTTCATTAAAAAAAAAAAAATTATTAAACAGGTGTATACTGAAAATATCATAAAAAATAATACGCAAATAGGATCGAATAGAATATGTTTAATTTTAAGCATGTGGAGCGTGCAAACTTTACATATATAAAATTCTTTATTCAAGAGCAATCTGAAACGCCTCATCGTCGTAGGATTTTATTTATTGATGATTTTTTAAAGGACATTGTAAAGTTTTTTTTTGTTTTTCCGCAAGAAAAACATAAAATTTTAAATTGTAATAATTAAATAAAACAACCAGTTATTGGCACTAACGCCAATAATGATTTTCATTTCATTTTCATTTGTTTGAAACTGATAAATGGTTAACTGTAAGTAAATTAAAAATAAGACAGTTGTTACAGGTCCACGAAAAGAGAAACACTCTGCGTATATAACATCCAAATATTTTAAAAGTACAAGTGAATCCAAACAACTTTTGTCTTTAAGTCTTTTTTACTTTTGTTTAGGTTTTGGGATAAGGTGTCATCCCATAATAAACGGCCCCCCATGACAATAGAATAAACAGAACGGCCAAAATTTGCAACAACAAAAATATCTCTAGTTTACCAGACGAACGGATGAAAGAGGATACCGTCGCCTAGCAGCGGAATACGGCTCGTCTGGTCGCCTTGGTTTCGAGCTCCCGCGCGCTCCTCAGTATCGAATACGCCAATTAAAAAATCGCTAACCGTTGTTCGCTAAAAGCCGCATACACTTACCTTCTCTCTGAGCATGTCTCTCGTTCGCGTCGCTTGGGTCCTGCACCTCTGCAACTCAAGCTGCAGTTCCAGGCATCGTTCGTACCAGTTGACGGAGGCGCCATCGGTCGAGGAACCTTGTCCGCTGTCGAAGTGATCGCGGGGTATGGTGGACGCCGATGACGCGGCGTCGCGGGCTCTGCGAGGCAAGAGCCGCGGGGATGAAGGAGTAGATTGGGATAACCTGGAGCGGGATATAATAGCGCTGATCCACATTTTGCAATGAATTCGATAAAAGAAAAAACCACATTACCACATCAAAATGTTAGAATAACAATACTTTAGGCCTGACTAAAAGTTCAGAATAACCACTTTTATTTTCTAACAAATTTTTCAAACAAAGTTATACAGGCTACTTATAAATTATTTATAACTCTTCTGGATTCCTCCTGCGTGGATTGTTGATAAATCGAACTTGCTGACGTTTCGCCAATCATTCTGTTGACTTCTTCAGAGCTTGACCGAAGCTGGTTTAAATTCTACTCTGCTTATATATTGCTTCGGATCACTGATTCCCATATTGGTGAAAGGGTGGTTAAGATTGTTTGGTTGTTTAGAGAGAAGAATTGATTACATGCAAGAATTTTAGTTTGTTAGAACGAGTTGTTTTAGCCTAGTTGATATTTTTCGTCCCGTTTTTCCAATTCTCTGCCGCATATGCATGGAATGTTGTAAACCTGTGTTACGTGGTCAGTGATGTTTTGAATGTAAGAAAGGACCGCACCGGCAAGTGTGGGGTGGCTTTTGGACTTATTTTCTTTGGGAGGTTGTGGTGACGTGTATTTTGTAATGGAACGCTTAATATCTCGAATGTGTAAATTATTAAAGAAAAAAGCAGATGTCAGGTTTTTAATTATGGGTTCAATAATTTGGGTTGAGATAGTTTTACGGATCTGGAAACAAGAGAGTCGATAATCGAAGATTTCTGGGTCGGATGGTGATGTGACAATTCATTAAGATATCCTAGGTTTTTGTATACTGAATGACCCACTGTTAGGCCTGATTTATTATTAACAAGAATATTTAAGAATGGGAAATTGTTATTAGTTTCTAATTCACTGGTGAAAGGTATGTTAACATGTACAAACTTTAAATGGTTAAGAAAATCTCGGAAGTATGGGAGATGAGGTCGAATAACAAACGTATCATCGACGCAGGGTTTCCATAGTTTGAGTTTTAGATAGAAGGTGTCCAGAGCTTTTGTCTAAAAAGCTTCTGTATTTCATGATATTTCATGATAATTCATGATAATTTCATGATAATAACACCAATGGGTGTTTTTGATATTTATTCATAAATTTGACCGTCACAAGAAAAACATGTTCCAGACAAGCATTTTTCAATTAAAATGAAAAGGTTTGATTCCAGATTCTCGGATTTTAATATACAGGGTTAGTAAAAAGTACCGGAACACTTAAATAACCAGAACCAGAAAAAAACTCTTTGAAAAATTGAAAATTTTAGAAATGTATCAGTGAAAGGTTACCAGAATTACAAATATTATCAAGAAATAGACAACAACTATTTAATTTTCTCGTTCCAGCTTGGACAGTTTTGGAGATATTTTAGCATTCCGTTAGTTTTTACGGCGTTGCCGTAGCTCCGTAATGAATAGAAAAAAAAACTAAAAATACGGGAGTTTACTAAATTCGACCTGCGTAATTCATTGCAACAAAAATAAATAGGGCATTTTATTAAAATAACAAAATTATGACGTATAACGTAAAAGTGGTACATCTGACGACATTGCTGTTAGCATTTTTAAATTCTGCATGTTCAAAATCCCCAGGTATTGAGTTTTATCATTCCAGCTTTGGCAGTATTCGAGATATTAAAGCTTTGCGGTACTTTTTACTAACATTTTACCTGAAATAATGATGAGAATTTCAGGAATAGGTTTACTTTAGTAAAAAGGAACTCGTCGAAAATAACCAGCAGCCCTAAAGACACTAACACTACTCTATCCGGGATTTTCAATCCACTTCATTCACATTCACCACTTCAAACAAACACTTAGCAACGTCTGAACAAACATAATTTTTATGTTTCCAGTTATATCCTTATGTATAGCGACTTTAAATGTTCAGAGATGACAAATATTTTATTTTTAATGTTATTAGTTGATTTACATTTTGCTACTTTAAACAAACTCATAATTTCAAACGGCAACTCAGAGATGGATATTTTTGACAAGGCTAAACCTCTATAAATGTATACACTTACACTAAACACTAAACACTAAACGGCAACACTTTATTTTCTACAATCAATAAAGTTGCTGAGAGAAATTTTATACCCGTAATGAAGGGTAATTTCTGTACATACAGCTGAGAGGCCTCTGTGCAAAAACCATTCGCATAATAAGTCATCAGTTGGGATGGTCATCAGTTCGATGGTAAAACAACCTTCGATTCCCAGAAAATAATAGGAATAAAGTGAAAAAAATACGACCATTTCATTAATTAGATGTGAATCTTATAATCTGTTTTTTTATTACATGTATGAAAAATTTTGAAAAAACTTCTAAACCAATTTTCTATAAACAATATGTGATAGGTCCGGCAGGTCTAAGAAAGCCGCATCGAATAGTTGTACTACAGCATGGTCGATATAGTTTAAAACTAAAAAATTCAAGGAATATATTAACAAAACATCGAAACACCCTTACAGGAATACCAAAAGAAAAATATAGATTGTCGGACAAAATTAATGGTAACCCAGATTTTTTTTTTTGGAAAAATATTGTATTTCTTTCCGCTCATTAGAGAACTACTTTTTCTGGGCACATTTGAAATTAAAGTCGGGCATGAGGACAATCTGTCGACGAAAAACTCTTGCCCCAAACCAAAACCACTACGACAAACTGATTTTCCTTAGATCTCTTACCTGGTAAGCTCTCCCAGCCTCGACAGTGGATCGAACGCTCCACTCAACCTCCTGAGATTATCCTCTCCCATCTTTCTATCCCCGTATCAGGTCACCTCCATCGTACCGAACCCGAATCGCAATTCGAACACTAAAAACGACATCAGCGCGAACCGCGATTGGAAGCCCTTCGTGTACGGGACATTGTTATTAAGGATCACACTAAAAACTACAAAACAACGTACTACCCTGTGAACTAGATGGAGGGATGTATCACAACCGCGTTAAACGACCGAATTTCGTTCACGTAATCTAACGGGCGACGTAACAGAGAGCATCACGCTTACTGGGTATAGGACCGAGACGTCTTTTGCTAGAAATGCAACGGCTGGCCAATGACCTTATAATAGTTGGTAGTTAAGGTCGGGACTCCTCTCCTCCTCCTATGCCGCGAGCTCATTGATTCCGAGGTTTTTCATTCAATTTTCAGCTTCTACGTTTGGATATATATAAATTACGGTCTATTTTAATTAAGGGAAGGAAGCGCTTCGTTCGGGTAGTGGAGGGAGGTTCCTTGTCGTACCTGAAAGAAAAAAAAATGCGATTTAGCGTTGAATACGACGACAGATTTTAGATCTGATATACGCCAAGTCGGCAAAGATGTTAGCGACAGAGTCACCTAATATAGATGCGAAAGTCCGCGGAATTTGTTGACCTTGGTGTAAATGCCTCGCGCCACAGATCACAAACGTATTTACCACTATTTAACAAATCGCTAATGTGTTAACTAAACTGAGGGGCAGATAAAGTGACAAATCAAAGAAGTCGGTTAAATTTGATTAGCTGTTTCTTTGCTGATCTTAGGCTTTCAGTAAGTCATACTTGGTCTATGAGTTTGATACAGGATTTTTTAAAATCCTTTCTGAATGTAAGACAACCAAAAATATCTATTCGAAAAAGGGGAGTCCATCGGGCGTTTCCGGTACTTTAATCATCGGTTTGGGACCGATCGAATGTTTTCGCTAGAATGTAAACACTGATATTTCGACGGTTGTCAGTTCTGATGGTCGCGTCATAAGTCACTCAGCGATTGTATTCGGGTTGTTGCAAAAATTAATGGTTGTAAAATCGTATAGTACGCAACAAGTCGATAAACTTCTTCACAGGCTAGCTTATCAAATTTGTGGCATGATATACAAGTTATAGGTATTTTAAAATTGGAACTAAATATTAAATAAAAACCAGCGGCGCGCAAAGGGAGGTTATAAAATAGGGCAGTAATTAGGTTAGAGACGGGCCAAATCCTTATTATTACTATACGAATATTTAACATATCAAGCTCAAACTCTATAGACAATAAACAATAGACACATATAGACAATAAACTCAATGTTAAACTCATTCCAATTAATTAATTTATTTCCAGCATTACTATTAAAAACCTAAAATAAAATTGCAGTTGCAGTTTGAACCGTATCTGCTTTTATTTACTTTTCATTTTAAAATAACAGCGGAATTTCCATATTTCCATAATAAGCCAATGCACCAAAGACGTCAAGAAATGTTAAATTACAATGACTGGCTCAACATACGACTCTCGCTCTTTACAAATTGTTCCCAAAAAATTGAAATTTTTCGTTGCCTTACACTTACACTTCAACGGAGACTTAAACCAGGGAAGTAACCTCTTACCGAAGCGTTACATTGCGGGTGGTCGGAATCGATAATTGTACTCGGTGATTCACTACTCGAAAGTTGTTTAAAATTGCGGTGTACGTCCTACATTTTTTCACCGGAAGTAACCCCCCAAATAGTGGAAAACTCATTATCACAAAACAGGAGTATAAGCTAAAAAAATGGTCTGAGTCCTAAGTTAACAATAAACATTTGTTGTCATTAAACAAAATATCCAAATAAGGGAAAAAGCAAAAATAAATAATTAGAGCGTCACCTAGTCAGGCTAGTTTTGGTTAGTTAGGACCATATCTCATGTTAGTCCTACAACTTAGAAGAAAATATATCTATTATAATCTACTCCAGATAAGGAAACTTTTTTATTTTAACTTTGTCTTTTGCGTTTTTAATAATTTCCTCTGTCCTTTGCGTTTTTAATAATTTCCTCTGTCTTTTGAGTTTTTAATAATTTCCTTTGCCCTTTGCGTTTTTAGTAACGTCTTTTGCGTTTTTAGTAATTTCCTCTGTCTTTTGCGATTTTAATAACTTCCTCTGTCCTTTGCGTTTTTAATAATTTCCTCTGTCTTTTGAGTTTTTAGTAATTTCCTCTATCTTTTTCGTTTTAGTAATTTGCTCCTTATTTTGTGTTTTTAATAATTTCCTCTGTCTTTTGCGTTTTTAATAATTTGCTCCTTATTTTGAATTTTATTAATTTCCTCTGTCTTTTGCGTTGTTAATTATTTCCTCTATTCTTTGCGTTTTTAATATTTTCTTCTGCCTTTTACGTTTTTAATAACTTCCTCTGTCCTTTGCGTGGTTAATAATTTCCTCTGCCCTTTGCGTTTTTAATAATTTGCTGTCTTTTGCGTTTTAAATAATTTCCTCTGTCTTTTGCGTTTTTAATAATTTGCTCCTTATTTTGCCTTTTATTAACTTCCTCTGACTTTTGCGTGGTTAATAATTTCCTCTGCCCTTTGCGTTTTTAATAATTTGCTCTGTCTTTTGCGTTTTTAATAATTTCCTCTGTCCTTTGCGTTTTTAATAATTTGCTCCTTATTTTGCGTTTTTAATAATTTCCTCTATCTTTTGCGTTTTTAATAATTTCCTCTCTCCTTTGCGTTTTTAATAATTTTCTCTGTCTTTTGCGTTTTTAATAATTTGCTCCTTATTTTGCGCTTTTAATAATTTGCTCCTTATTTTGCGTTTTTAATAATTTCCTCTGTCTTTTGCGTTTTTAATAATTTCCTCTGTCTTTTGCCTTTTTAATAATTTTCTGTCTTTTGCGTTTTTAATAATTTCCTCTGTCTTCTGCGTTTTTAAAAATTTCCTCTGTCTTTTGCGTTTTCAATCATTTCCTCTGTCCTTTGCGTTTTTAATAACTTCCTCTGTCCTTTGCGTAGTTAATAATTTCCTCTGTCTTTCGCATTTTTAATAATATCCTCCGCCCTTTGCGTTTTTAATAATTTGCTCCGTCTTTTGCGTTTTTAATAACTTCCCCTGTCTTTTGCGTTTTTAATAATTTCTTCTGTTTTTTGCGTTTTTAATAACTTCCTGTGTCCTTTGCGCTTTTAATAATTTCCTCTGTCTTTTGCATTTTTAATAATTTCCTTTGCCCTTTGCGTTTTTAATAATTCACTCCGTCTTTTGCGTTTTTAATAATTTCCCCTGTCTTTTGCGTTTTTAATAACTTCCTCTGTCCTTTGCGTTTTTAATAATTTCCTCTGTCTTTTGCATTTTTAATAATTTGCTCCGTCTTTTGCGTTTTTAATAATTTCCTCTGTCTTTTGCGTTTTTAACAATTTCCTCTGTCTTTTGCGTTTTTAATAATTTCCTCTGTCTTCTGCGTTTTTAAAAATTTCCTCTGTCTTTTGCGTTTTCAATAATTTCCTCTGTCCTTTGCGTTTTTAATAACTTCCTCTGTCCTTTGCGTAGTTAATAATTTCCTCTGCCCTTTGCGTTTTCAATAATTTGCTCTGTCTTTTGCGTTTTTAATAACTTCCTCTGTCCTTTGCGTTTTTAACAATTTCCTCTGTCTTTTGCATTTTTAATAATTTCCTCTGCCCTTGGCGTTTTTAATAATTTGCTCCGTCTTTTGCGTTTTTAATAATTTCCTCTGTCCTTTGCGTTTTTAATAATTTCCTCTGTCTATTGCGTTTTTAATAATTTTCTCTGTCTTTTGCGTTTTTAATAATTTCCTCTGTCTTTTTCGTTTTTAATAATTTCCTCTGTCTTTTGCGTTTTTAATAATTTCCTCTGTCTTTTGCGTTTTTAATAATTTCCTCTGTCTTTTGCGTTTTTAATAATTTCCTCTGTCCTTTGCGTTTTTAATAATTTCCTCTGTCCTTTGCGTTTTTAATAATTTCCGCTGTCTTTTGCGTTTTTAATAATTTCCTCTGCCTTTTTCGTTTTTAATAATTTCCTCTTTCTTTTGCGTTTTTAATAATTTCCTCTGTCCTTTGCGTTGTTAATAATTTCCTATGTCTTTTGAGTTTTTAATAATTTCCTCTGTCCTTTGCGTTTTTAATAATTTCCTCTGTCCTTTGCGTTTTTAATAATTTCCTCTGTCCTTTGCGTTTTTAATAATTTCATCTGTCTTGCGTTTTTAATAATTTCCTCTGTCCTTTGCGTTTTTAATAATTTCCTCTGTCTTTTGCGTTTTTAATAATTTCCTCTGTCCTTTGCGTTTTTAATAATTTCCTCTGTCTTGCGTTTTTAATAATTTCCTCTGTCCTTTGCGTTTTTAATAATTTCCTCTGTCTTTTGCGATTTTAATAATTTCCTCTGTCCTTTGCGTTTTTAATAATTTCCTCTGTCTTTTGCGTTTTTAATAATTTTCTCTGTCTTGCGTTTTTAATAATTGCCTCTGTCTTTTGCGTTTTTAATAATTTCCTCTGTTCTTTGCGTTTTTAATAATTTCCTCTGTATTTTGCGTTTTTAATAATTTCCTCTGTCCTTTGCGTTTTTAATATTTTCCTCCGTCTTTTGCGTTTTTAATAATTTCCTCTGTCCTTTGCGTTTTTAATAATTTCCTCTGTCCTTTGCGTTTTTAATAATTTCCTCTGTATTTTGCGTTTTTAATAATTTCCTCTGTCCTTTGCGTTTTTAATAATTTCCTCTGTCTTTTGCGTTTTTAATAATTTCCTCTGTCCTTTGCGTTTTTAATAATTTCCTCTGTATTTTGCGTTTTTAATAATTTCCTCTGTCCTTTGCGTTTTTAATAATTTCCTCTGTCCTTTGCGTTTTTAATAATTTCCTCTGTCTTTTGCGTTTTTAATAATTTCCTCTGTCCTTTGCGTTTTTAATAATTTCCTCTGTCATTTGCGTTTTTAATAATTTCCTCTGTCTTTTGCGTTTTTAATAATTTCCTCTGTCCTTTGCGTTTTTAATAATTTCCTCTGTCTTTTGCGTTTTTAATAATTTCCTCTGTCCTGTGCGTTTTTAATAATTTCCTCTGTCCTTTGCGTTTTTAATAATTTCCTCTGTCTTTTGCGTTTTTAATAATTTCCTGTCTTTTGCGTTTTTAATAATTTTCTCTGTCTTTTGCGTTTTTAATAATTTCCTGTCTTTTGCGTTTTTAATAATTTCCTCTGTCCTTTGCGTTTATAATAATTTCCTCTGTCCTTTGCGTTTTTAATAATTTCCTCTGTCTTTTGCGTTTTTAATAATTTCCTCTGTCTTTTGCGTTTTTAATAATTTCCTCTGTCCTTTGCGTTTTTAATAATTTCCTCTGTCTTTTGCGTTTTTAATAATTTCCTCTGTCCTGTGCGTTTTTAATAATTTCCTCTGTCCTTTGCGTTTTTAATAATTTCCTCTGTCCTTTGCGTTTTTAATAATTTCCTCTGTCTTTTGCGTTTTTAATAATTTCCTCTGACCTTTGCCTTTTTAATAATTTCCTCTGTCTTGCGTTTT